CTCCAGTAGCAAAGTTAGTCACTGTTCGAATAGTTCTTGCTCTAGCAGCAGCACGTAATTGGCCTCTCCACCAACTAGACATTAACAACGCCTTTCTACACGGGTATTTAGATGAGACCGTGTATATGAGACCTCCCCCTGGATATTCTAAGGCTCTTCCTTCCCAAGTCTGCAAACTCAAGCGATCACTCTATGGCTTAAAACAGGCCTCTCGTCAGTGGAACCTTGAATTCACTCAAAGGCTGGAATCTTTTGGGTTTACACAATCTGGTCATGACCACTGCCTGTTCTTTAAGTCTGTTGAGAATGATTTCTTGATTCTCTTAGTATACGTTGATGATGTGCTTTTGACTGGTTCTTCTGAGTCTCTTATATGTGCTACTAAGCAATTTCTTGATACTACTTTCACCATCAAAGATTTACAGCATGCTAAGTATTTTCTGGGTGTCGAAATTGCTCGTTCTGATGCTGGTGTTTCCCTGAATCAGCGCAAATATATTCTAGATTTGTTACAGAGTGTAGGTCTTCTTGGCAGTAAATCTGTGTCCACTCCTTTGCCAAAGGGACTAGTTTTAGATGATGATACTAGTCCTGTACTAGCTGATCCTAGTACCTATCGTCGTCTTGTTGGCCGGCTGTTGTATTTAGGGTTTACGAGACCAGATATAACCTATGCCACTCAGCAACTCAGCCAGTACCTTCAACAGCCTCGGGAAGTTCATTGGGCTGCTGGATTACATGTTCTTCGCTACCTCAAAGGTTGTCCTTCTTTAGGGTTGTTTTACAGCAGTACCAGTGATCTCCAGCTTCAGTCCTTTTGTGACGCCGACTGGGGAAATTGTACTGTTACTCGGTTTTCCCAGACTGGATATTGTATTTTCCTTGGATCTTCTCTAATTTCTTGGAAAACTAAAAAGCAGTCCACTACTTCTAAATCCTCCTGTGAAGCAGAATACCGCAGTATGGGGGCCACTGTTTGCGAACTCCTCTGGATTTCGTACATTCTGAAGGATTTACAGGTACCTCTGTCTCTTCCTATCCCTTTTGCGTGTGATAACAAGTCAGCTTTGTATATTACAGCTAATCCGGTGTTTCACGAGCGTACGAAACACATCGAGATTGACTGCCACATTGTTCGGAATCAGTATAAAGCAGGTTTTATTGATCCTTATCATCTTTCTTCTTCTGCGCAACCTGCTGATTTGTTTACGAAAACACTTCCTGCTGCTCACTTTCAAGTATTGCTGTCCAAGCTTGGACTTTGTGATATTCATACTGCCAAGCTTGAGGGGGGAATGAAGAATTATGATAAAGTAGCAGCTATTGTTGAATGTGTTGACTGCTTAGAGGTTTCTGTTTTAGATGATGTATTAGATGGTTTCCCATTTTAGCCTCTTGTATAGTATTATGTAGTTACTTAGCAGGGATATACTTGTAAATATAGAATAGTCAAACAGGTATATATATATATATATACATTGTATAGTTAGTCAGATTTTTGATGTAGAACAATCTTGCAGATCTAATCGATATGGTTTTTCCCTTTTTCTTCAGTGATTGAAACCCTAGCCATGGCTTCTGTCCTCCCTCTGTTTACCATCTTTTGATGGTATCAGAGCAGGAATAACACAATTTAAACCGATGGTCCGGGAGTTCTACAATGATATGAAACATCACCGGTGTCTTGCCGTGGCTTCAACATGATGTTATAGGGATGACATATCCCAGAAATGTGCTAATTAGGCAATAGCCTCCTTCGATGTACCAAAAAAAAAAAACAATTATGTAGTAGTACTATTATAAAAAAAACCCAGACTTTAAATTACAATATCTAGTTAAAATGCCTCTAAAATTTGCTCACAAGTCATGAATCTACATCTACATCTACATTATATAAAGTGCGGAAGCACTTTTTAGTTACGGTTAAAAATGGGTTGTCGATAAACATCACTGACATGGCAATTTGATGTTGGACCGTTTCTTTTTTTCCTTTTGGCTGGCCCCGTTGCCAGTTTCCTCCATTTTTTGACCGTTGGTTATATGCCGTGAAGAACAAAACAGACCAGAGTTTCGCTCCAGTAACCGCGCCCCTTTTTTCCTCCGATTGTAAATCTTTCATGTGGTTTGTGTCTAAGCGAAAGGAACAATTGAAATCATCAGATCGGAGGTTTCGGTTGGTCGACATGATTCCGGGATTAAGCAGCAGGTATTCAGAGGTTTGTGTGCCTATAGGGTTGGGGTTTTCTACTTTGCTTACCGGATATATTTTGCTTTGTTTATGTGTTTGTGAATTTGTGTGGTTTGTTCTCCGTCCACCAATAGAAGAACAGAGGGAACTTAGGATTGGGGTTTTCGGGGAAACAAATTCAAGGGTTTAAAGTGAGTTGATTTGAATGCTTAATTTCATTCCTTTTTTATTGATGCATGTAAGGTAGTGCCGAAATTATATACTCGGGTCTGATATTGAAGAGTGTAAATGTTAGATCGTGCATTTTGAGGCTTCGGTTTTTAGATCTTTTCGTTATTGTAGTCAGTATTAATTTTGTACTACTGAATTGAATTGATTTGAGAAAAGAAGAACCGAGAGGTTTTCATAGAGTAAAGAAATGGGGTATATTCAGGTTAGCTTATTGTTGCCAATCATTATCATGCGTGAAAAGGGGCAAAAACAGAGAGAGTTTGGTGTTGGTGTTCGAATTTTGATTCAAAAGGGGAGGAAAACAGAGACCTTAGAGCTGTTCAAGTTGGGATTTAATTTGGAAAACGTACGTAGCTCAAGGTTTCAAAATTCAGTAAGGTAATCTATTAATCTCCCCCCTATAAATCTGGTTGCAACTTGTTAGATTAAATTGTTTAGAGTAGAACTGCTAGGAGTAGCTCTTCTTTGCTTCTTAGCATCATTATTTGTTATGCTATGTATCTGAATGAGGAAGAGAAGATGATTTGAAAGATGATTTAGCTGTAAGGGGCAATGGCTTTAAGCATTGAAATGTTCATATTTGCTGTACATTGAGGTGTGGTCACATCTCAAATAATGATTTTCATTAGCTTTGTGATTGAATCCTTAAAATCAAGAACTGAAGTTTCTATTGAGCTTGATCAACATTTTCCAGTAGACTATTTTTCCATAACCTTCATTTTAGCTTTATTTAAGTAATTTCTATGCTCTGAAACACAATATATGAATTATTCAGCATCACAAATGTATGCTCATTTGCATCCATGTCAAGTTTAGAATGAGATTTTCTGTATCATAATATTATAAGTATCATCGTTAATTGTTGCAGGATTTCTCATTGATTGCGTTGTTAAAGCATAAATGATGTACTGTAAAAATTTTGTGAACTCTGTAATTTTTTGTCACGGCACTCTGTCCTGGAGTAATTTTAGATGCATCTAAAGCGAAGGTGGCCAAATTAGTTAATGGGTACCTTGCTGAAGCTGCAAGAGATTCCAGGTTTACCTTTGTCAAACATGAATTTAGCAGAAATCGTATTAAACACCCCCTCCCCTACACAATCGCATGAAGGAATATACTACGCTATTGATGTTAATCTCAAGGTTAGTTTTTAATACAAATCCCTGTTGTTCCTTTGTGGTCTTCATTTATTTGAATGTTTAAATGCGTGTGGAGAATTTGGAGATTGAATAGCTTTTGCTCGATGAATAAGTTGAAAACCTACAATTTTGTACTTAACAAACGCATGCTCATTCTCTCTTTGGGAGAAAACTGAACTCTGTGAGCAGTCACAGGCGGTGTAAAATGAGCTACTACCATTGCGGATGGTCGTGTAGGTTTTATTCTTTGAATAGGTCCGGGCTACAACATCATCTGGTGGTGACAGCACCTTGGATTGTCCGGTTCAATCAAGGCCTTGAAATCTGGCTTCCATAAAAGTTTCATATCAGCAGCCATCAATACACTGAAAGGTGAATTTGCTAATATGAGGCTGAAACATGGAACTGATGGTGGTGGTGTTGAAAATATGAATGATGGATGAATGCAGGAGAAACGACAAAGTTGACATGGCTTCAAGAACTAGAAGGCATTACTCATCTTAGCATATCACCACTTAACCAGTAAAATACCAAAGTGTATCAGTAGATTAAATGCAGGACATTAGAACTTCGCTAGCTGACTTGCAGGGGAAAAGCAACAATCTGACGATGACCCTTTTCTTTTCGCTTTTAGGATTGCAGGTAATGCTTTCAGAAAATCCAAATTTGACTTATATCTTGTAAAATAAGGTTTTAAAGGTATTTTCTTTGTAAAGTGACTCTTAAATTTACACAATATTTAATTTTCTTGATCTTTACTAATTTTGCAACATAGAATTGTTTGTGTTCTATAAGTTAATACCTGACTACAAATGCATCATTTTGGCCTACTTTTTCACTGCCATTAATAAGTTTGTTTTATAAATTTAGTTGCAATCGTTCATTTTAAAGTAATATATTTGTCATCAATGTGTAATTTTGCCAAGGAAAAAAAAACTTATTATATTGTATTCAAAGACTTGAGCTTTATTTAAATTAGTAAAACTAACAAATGCAACAAATAAATGACCAAATCAGTTCCCTACAATTCTACATATTATCTTATACCTTAAATTCAAAATGTATGTTAGACTTAATTAAATACAAACTTGTTAAATTATATAAAAAAAAGGAGCCACTATGCCCTGGTTCCGCTCGCACCACAGCCGCACCCCCAGCTAGTACTGTTTAAGGATCAAATCCCGCGTCCTTTTTTCTTTAATTTTTTGGGAACAATTGAAGTTCCTAATTGGTTGACATTTGGTTAAAGATTCTCATTTTTGGTTCTTCATAGCATAAAATGTTTATCTTAATTCATTTAATTTAATTTTTGTCTAAATAATGAATCTAGAACAAATATAATGTAAGCTAGAACCTTCAATAAAGCGAATAATCGCGCTAATGCGCGACCGGACAGTATTAGTTTAATTATATATTACCAAATCATGGAATTTAGTATTTCACTACTTCACATCATGAAGGGCTATTAAGGTAATTGGACATCCACTTCTCAATCTCGGTATATGAGCTTTTCTTTCTAGGCGAGGATCTGGATCATCAACGGTCCACCTACAAATTTTTTAGAAACCCAGTTAAATTCAAGCCGAAGTTGTGTTATCCACTAGAAAGTTAAAAAAAGATGAAGTCCAATGTCCATAGAGAAGAGATGGTGGGAAGAAATATGAGGTTCAGACCTTCAGTCTTTTAAGAGATCACAAAGTTACAAAATTAAATGAAAGAAGACAACCGACTAATTAGACCCTTAACCATTAAACTATGTGTTGTTATAACATGTTAAAATGTATTTTTTCTGTCCCAAAATTATTGTCTATTTTGGATTTTTATTTTTAGTTCAAATTATATTAAAAGTGAAGTCCCAAACTGGACAATAATTTTGGAATAGAAAGAATACTTTCAAATGTTATAATCCTGTCTTTATATTTTCGGTATAATTTTTTTAACGTTTCAAAACCTTTTTTTTTTAATAAAAAATAAAAAACAATATCACCTTCTCAGGAATCAGTAAATCAAATAGAGCCAAGAAAAATGACCTGTATCCCGTAGTAAGTCGGTGTAAAAAAACCAGCATAGTAACTCTTGCCATGTTTATGCCCAAACATGTCCTTGGTCCAGAACCGAATGGTATATAGCTGTATGGCTTTGGCGTTACCTTATGATCATCACACCATAAAAAGTATTAGCCCGAGCTCGGGACCAGTAACTATAGAAATGGAGAAAATAATTATTGTAAAGAATAAGGATTTTTACATCAAATCTTGAAGGGTTGAAGAGCGTTGGATCCTGGTAAATTTCTGGGTCGTAATGTATGTAGGTTGCATCGACATTGACATGCCATCCTCTCTTTATCTCATAACCTGAATTCAGATTTTCATATTTGGTTCGACATTACAAAAGTTTTTCAGTGACATTTTTGTATTATGCATCTTCATAGACATGTTTACCAGTTTTATATGAAATGTAATAGTAATAATTAGAAGAAAAAAAAAGAGTGTCGCAGAAAAATCCTGTGACAGTCGATGGGGCAAATCAAGGATAATTGAAATTGAAATACTTTATGTGATTTGAATTTTTATTACTTCCCTATATGTAAAAAGTATAAGTGAGGGTGTTGTTTCGTTTTTCTTCTTTTTCAAGTAAACATTGAAGCATCATCAAGCAAACGTGTGTGTCTTATAAACTCTCGAGGATACATAGCTCTTGTTTTACTTGCCTTGGATTTTGCAATCATCAGCCACAACTCGAGGAAACCATAACAAGACATTTGACATTCTTAATGTCTCTTTTACAACCTGAAAACAAAATGTTTGTAAGAAAAAAATATTTTAGATTAATTATTTGTCAATTTCAATTTTTTTTTCTGTTAATTTAATTAGAGTTTAATTAATCAATCACCTGTGAAGCGTACGGCATGCTATTCAGATCTTCAAGTGTAAGTAGAGCACCAGTTGGCTTCCTTCTTAGGATACTCAATTGTTCTTCCTGTAGAATGAGAAAAAAAAAAAAAACAAATCTGGTTGTGGTTAGTGTTTGAATTAGGTGGCCTCTTTTCCGGAATGATTTTGAGTACCAAATTAAATAATATTTCTACAAAAATTAATAGACCGGAGTTATATATTACCCTGAGTTTATCAAGAACTTGTGGATTGTCACTCAAGAACTTGACACTCCACATCATTGCAGCTGCTGTAGTAGTTTGCCCCGCAATTATTAGGGTTAATAGATTGTCCATAATTTCTTGGTCGCTGAGCTTTTCGTCGTCGGGATACGAATCCCGTTTCAGCATTGATCCCAAGAAGTCGTCTGGATTAATGTTAGCATTTCCAGTTCTTCGAAGGGTAATCATATCTCTGAAAGTCTCCATGAGCCTTTGACGTGCCTGTTTTAATTGCTTTTTTTGTTTTAGTGATAATTCAAGTTGTCGTAGTTAATCAGGTCACTAACATAGTTTGCAAAAGTTTTCGCTATTGTGTAAATGAAATGGATCGTGTCAGCATTAAATCAAGATTAAGATTATTTATCAGTGTTATGAAAAATTAACCGATAGTATCGAAAAGATTGGTGTTGATTAATGAGGGGGGCTGACCTTAATGCCTTTGTAGTATCGAGTTCCAGGAATCATGACGGGGAATGACAACATGGCGTCTGAAACAGCAGTGCAGTCTCTTTCGATTTGTCGCAATAACGAATCATCCGTGACGCTCATCAACATGTCACACATTGCATCGAATGTTAACTGCAAAATTGCATCAGATTCATATCATTCAAAACGTTATACTACGTAGTACTTCTCTTTTCTTTCTTTTTTCTTTTAAGGAATTTAATTTTTAAAAGTGTTATATTACCATTTTGGTCTTAATTAAAATTATTTTTGAAACCATATAAAGATTAACTTGAAGTATAAAAAAGAAACTAGTTTTTTTTTTTGGAGAAAAAAAGAAACTAGTTAGTTGATATTAATATACACATTATTAAATATAGAGAAAGATAAGAATGTAATGGGAAAAAAATGTATTTTATACTGCATTACAAATGAAGTACGATAAATTTTATGAAAAAAAAGATGTCAGATTCAAACCTAATGTTATAGACTTTTTTTTTTGTAAAGAAAAAAGAAAAAATAAAAAAACAGAGGTAGTATATTCAATTCCAAGTCATTTGGTTAGAATCGGTTTCGAGAGTCACATACCTTCATACTGAAGTGTAGGACCATAAAACTTTGGCCATTCGTTTCTAATGTCGTGAGTCTTTGACATAGCATCCGATCGATCTTCTGAACAAACTTGGATAAAGAACTCATTGAAAAGGGATCAGAAAGAAGACGCCTGATTCTTTTGTGACTCTCGTGCGGACTAGTCAGCAAGCTTTTGTTTCCTACCGTGTCGGCCATTGATTTCACGTAACCCTTGTTAAAAATCGTAAAATCATTGGTGAAAACGGTTTTTGCACCTTCAACACTTGGCACAAACACATGGATCTTGCCGAAGATCCTTGTTTTGAACCACCTTCCATACCTGAATTTGATATTATGATTTTTCAGCGACGATAATATTACTCCCTCCGATCTTTAATATAAGGTATTTTGATTTATTCTAGGTTTCACCTAGTACATATTTTTAATTGACAAAAAAAAAAAAAACCTTAAAAATGTTTACTAACAATCAAGAGAACACAATGAATGTGAAAATATAGCGTTTTTTTTTTCAATTAAAAATACATATTAGGTGAAACCTAGAACCAATCAAAACACTTTATATTAAGGACCGAAGGAAGTATAATGGAAGGAAGGAAGCTGGCAGCTCCGACGCGAAGAAACTTACCAGGATCGTCGTTGTGTAACGAAATCATAGCAGCCTTTGTCGCTATTTGTTGCCGAGAGAAAAGAGAGTGTTTCACCAAAGAAAGGGATTCCCAACCTGCCCGGAATGACATCATCTTTCCTTCCTGGATATCTTCCAGAAAGAAAAAATGCAATTGTTAATGCAGATAGCAATAGAGGAAGGACAACATCATAGTTGCTGGTTATCATAGCCACGATAAGGTCGGATTGAATGACCATGTTTGTAACTGAAGATAAAATGCACAAATCTGAAGATGGTTGCTCCAATAAATACAGGCTAGTTTCATAGAAATTCACGAAGAAAAATGTTATGTATTTGTATAGAGATGTTTGGAATAAGCATCGATCTCCTGTCGTTACAAGTTGAAACCCAAAGATTCCTGCTGCTTAAGGACAATATTTGTATCTATCTTCCTCAACTCTTGTCGTTTGGCAAACATGGAATAAAAGGATTCCAGATTTCAAAAAATAAGGTAAAGAAAAAAAGATTAGGTAGTTTCACCTCGGTTATGATACCATTAATTAACAAAATTACGAAGTCATGATATTGACAATTCGACGTGTTCCGTTATGACTTGTGCGACTCTTAGTTTATGTAACTTTATGTTTTAAGTTGTACCATTACAATTTCCTGAATGTCTCTTGTTAAAGTGGACCACACTTAATTAAGAAAAGCAAATTTTAGTGACTCCTCTGTGTAATTCCAATTGCTAGGGGCATGATATATAGGAGAACTTTTCTTGACATGAAAGAACCCGGGAATTATATTGCTTAACACAGAAAAGAAAATAAAATGAATGAAGTTCCTAGTAACTAGAGCAAGTGTATAGTAACCATCAACCATATTGACACTTATTTGTGACATATTATCGATCCTGAATTCTGAATAACGAGCATGGTTTCTACTATTTATATACATATTAAGTTTTTTTTTTCTTCCAGTAGCTCCTCCGAATAAATGTGTGCACAGTGAATTTACCTTGTGTGCGAGAATGAATAATAAAAATATACGTAAACCAGCTCCTATCTTTACAAAATTGATTTTATATCGATCATCCTAGTCCACTCCTTTCTAACTCTCCTTACTAACTTCAACTAACTCAGCTTTTAAAAATTAAAGTTGTGCAAGAGACTATTTCGGTAAAGAAAATATAAATGTCATATATTCTTTCTGTCTAAAAAAATAATCAACACTAAGTTTTGAAATTTGTAATAAAATAGTACAAATCTTAATCTCAACATGGTATTATTTTTTTTGGATGAATAGAGTACAAATGTTTTGTATAATCTAGCTTATAGAGGTTCATTTTTTACAATATACGTCAATTTGGAGGAGTACGTATATAACCTAATGCGTTGAATTGATTTACTAATACCTTTTCCACAACAAAAGAAAATCAGAACTTAATTGTCATTACTCGTAATCGTTCTCCAGGGTATCAAAGTGGTTGTCGGAAAAGCATCATTTTAGGTGCTAAGAAACAAAAGATTATAATATTATTGATTGATGCTACGAACTAATTAAGCTACCATATTTTAAGGCATCGGAGATTATCTTTAGAAAAAGCATCTTTTGAGGAAGGTTAGTCCAACAAAAAGAAGCTTATATGCGTCCAAAACCTCTAATAAGCTATAAAGTTTAAGAGGCTTAGTATCAAAAATACACACACATATAAAATTTCTTCATCCTTAGATTATACCCAGTTTTCCAACCATGGAGCTGACTTTGTCATCACTTTTCATCGGCTTCATTCTCGTTTTCTTTTCTGTCAGATCACTACAACACAAATTTCACAAATCCAGGGATGTTTCAACCCCCAAACTTCCTCCAGGGCCATGGAAATTGCCCATCGTTGGAAACATATTTCATTTTGCCTTCGCAGGTTCACTTCCACATCGAGCTCTGAGAAACCTTTCTCAAAGACACGGCCAAGTCATGCATCTACAGCTTGGGGAAGTATCCACTGTTGTTGTTTCCGGAGCTAGAGCCGCGAAAGAAGCGCTCAAGACAAATGATCTCGCTTTAGCAAACCGACAAAAGATCCTAGCCTCGGATCTTGCCTCGTATGATTATCAAGGCCTTGGGATGGCGCCCTACGGCGAATACTGGAGACAGATGCGAAAAATCTGCGTTCTGGAACTTTTTAGCATGAAAAAGTTCGCGGGTTCGCTTCTATTCGAGAGGATGAAGCTTGGAATATGGTTAAGTCCATTATCCAGGAGTTTTCTTCTAGGGATCATGCAAAAACAACCGTTAAAGTTGTAAACTTGACCGAAAAAGTTTTCGCGTTTGCATATGGCGTAACCAGTCGAGCATCGATTGGAAGCCGATGCAAATCCCAGGAAGAATTAATAAGGTCGGAAAATGCATTAATGGAGGTGTCCACAGGTTTCAATGTGGCCGATTTGTTTCGTTCCAGCAAAATCATTCAACTCTTATTTAGCAGGACAGCTCGCCAAATCAAGAAGCTGTTTAGGCGTTTGGACAGAATCTTGGATGAAATTATCCAAGAGCACAAAGAGAAAATGGCCCGATCACAAGCACAATCCCAATCCTCCATGGAACAAGTGAAAGAAGAAGAAAAAGAAGAAGAAGAAGATATAGTTGACGTTCTGCTAAAGATCAATGAAAGAGGAGACCTGGAAATCCCAATAAAGGACAACAACATTAAAGCTATTGTTAATGTAAACTTACTTAATCCATTCAAACTCATCACTAAGTCTTGATATATTTTTTAATTAACAATTTTACTTTGCAGGATATATTCGCCGGGGGAACTGAAACTACTGCATCGACCACTTTGTGGGCAATGTCGGAAATGATGCGAAATCCAAGAGTCCTGCAAAGAGCACAAGCAGAAGTAAGAGGTGCTATGCCTCAGGGAAAAACCCGGATACATGAGGCAGATTTGAAGGGATTGAGTTACTTAAAGCTCGTGATAAAAGAAACGCTCAGGTTATACCCGCCTGTCCCCTTACTAGTCCCAAGGGAATGTCGGGAGAAATGCCAGATTCAAGGATATGATATCCCTATTGGGACCAAATTTATTGTCAACGGTTGGGCAGTTAACAGGGATCCTGAATTTTGGATCGAGCCTGAAAGTTTTCGTCCTGAGAGATTCTTAGAAAATATTATTGATATAATTGGACCCAACTTTGAATATATCCCATTCCGGGGAGGTAGAAGAATGTGCCCTGGATTTTCATTTGGTTTAGCAGTTGTAGAACTTGCATTGGCTCAATTGCTCTACCATTTTGACTGGAAAATCCCTGGTGACATAGAACCTGAACTGCTGGACATGACTGAGCTCTTTAGCATCACACTTCGAAGGAAAAATAGCTTGTGTTTAGAAGCAAGCTTGAAATTCCCGTTTGAATAGATGGTCCATTTCATTGTTGTAATGTTCTCATCTTCTTTTTTTTCTTTTCTTATTTTATTTAAATAAGGAGTGATAATAATGTCACATAAGATCCAGCAGTAAATTAATGCATGGTTGTTGTTTTTTTTTTTTTTTTTATAATGGTCCTGTATATTAGTGAAGACCTATTCTATTACATTGCATTTTACCATAATCGAGCTTATGTACTTCTTCTACATCACTTCTACTTGCTTTAGTAATTTCACAAAAATTAAAACTAGAACTTAAAGTACTTATAAGGGAAACTATTTCTTGAGCCTCTATAAGAATTAGTGGAGTGGTTAGATCATTTGTAGCATCTCACAATCTGTAAGGATTTTAATCCTTTCCATTCCAAGCTTGGAAGCTTCGCGCATTCCAAGGAGGCATGTTAACGCTTCTGTTTGTAAAAGGGATAGAGAGCACACAGTAACTGCTATCATTTGTAACACCATGCCAGTGGATGACATAATTTACCATGCTCCTGCCGCACTGTGTGACCTTGGGTCATACGAACCATCCATCATAATTGTGGAGTAATCAGCTTGAGTACAGTTTTGACCAAGGGTTTGAGGAATAATCGCAGGACTTTGTTGTTTGCGATACCTTTTCTTTAGACAGCTGAACTCATGATGAATGAGTTGTCATTGTGCGAAGGGGTCAAGTTGTTGGTTTTTCCATAGTTTGTCATTCCTGCCAATCCATATCCACCAACAGATGATGAGAAAGAGGTCCAAATCCAAGGCATCAGGGCGTTTTTGCAACCAACCCTCGAACCATTCTAGTAATGAAGTGCTAGTATGGTGGAATACATCACCATAGATTGAAGGTGCTAGATTCCAAAGGGCTCTGGAATACGGACAATCCAAGATCAAATGCATACTAGTTTCTGGTGCAGACATACATCGAGGACAATCAGAAGTGACATCCATTCCTCTTTTTTGTAGTGCTATCCTCGTTGATAAGGCATTCAACAGGGCTCTCCAAAAAGTCATCTTCTGTTTTGGATGAACCCCAGAATTCCCCAACTTTTTCCATATCAAGGTTGAGGATTGAGAGTGTGCTGGCTGATTAGCGGTTTGTGTCAGATTGTACAGATTGATCGCTTCATGATATCCAGAGTTCACCGTGTAAATACCATGCTTTTCTTTGAACCAAAGCAATTTATCTCCTTGTTGCCTTCTAGCTGGATCCACAAATATTCCAGTCATGTGAGGAATGAGGGACGATGCTAAAATATTTCTCAATACCAACATCTTCCAGTTGCCATCTTCTTTGATTAAGTCCTTAACTCGCAGCCCCAAATGAGTGGCTAGTAAGGAATTTGGATGTATCAGATTAACCTGTGCAAGAATCCAATCATCTTCAATCCTAATATCCTTCTCTGAAATCACCTTCCACTGAACATTATGTCTGAGTAATTCAGCCCCCCAACGAACACTTCTATATCCCCAAGATGGTTGATTTGGCGATTTAACAGAAGGAAAGGTACCATTATTACAGTATTTAGCCCAGTATAATCTTGAGAGCAGAGAGCTAGGGGTCGCCATAATTTTTCCATGCATGTTTCGCCAGCAATGCTTGATTAAACTCTTTGAAAGATTTCAAACCAAGTCCACCATGAAATTGCGATTTACTGATTTTCTTCCAAGACTTCCAATGAATACCTTTATTCTGAGAGTCACCTTTCCAAATAAACCTTGCAAAGATGGCTTCAACTTTGTGAATTGTTTCTGCTAGAAGTTGGAAGACTCCCATGGGATATACTAGCATCGAAGCTAAAGCTGATTAAGCCAATGTAATTCTTCCACTCAATGATAAGAGTTTAGTCTTCCAATCCGCAAACTTGTTTTGCAACTTGGATGTGAAAGCATGAAAGATAAACTTTTTTTTCTTTGTGAAGTCAAGTGACATGCCCAGATATCGGCTGTGAAAGTTTCCTTCTGGAATTTCTAGTGTAGAATGGATAAATGACTTCATCTCTGGTGATGTATTTGGACTAAGCAGGATTGATGACTTATTGAGGTTGATCTTTTGCCCTGAGAATGCTGCATAGTCCTGAATTATGCCTGCCAATGCAAAAATGGAATCCTCCTTGCCTTCAACAAAGAATAAGTTATCATCCGCATACACCAGATGAGTCACTCTTGGTGCCATCTTGCAAATCTTGATGCCTAGCCCTGAGAATCTTCTATTTTCTACTCTGATTGCCGACGAGAGAACTTGTTGGCATAGTATGAACAAATATGGAGATAAGGGGCATCCTTGTCTGAGCCCTCTTATAGAAGAGAAGAAACGCTGGGAGTCTCCATTAAATTGTATAGAATATGAAACAGTGGATACACAGAACATGATTAGACGAATGAGGTTGTCTGGGATACCAACCTTTGTTAGCACCATTTCAAGAAATTGCCAAGATACCCTATCATACCCCTTACTCATGTCCAGTTTTATTGCTGCCAAACTCAATGGTCCATATTTCCTTCGAATGTGTTCCACCATTTCATGAGCTATCAAAATATTCTTAGCAATATTCAACCCCTGAACAAATCCATTCTGGTGTTCATCTATCAGAATGTTCATCACTAATTTGAGTCTGTTGGTGATGATCTTGTACTTGGTGTTACATAAGCTTATTGGCTTGAAATCCCCAGGCACAGAAGGATTTGTTACTTTAGGTATTAAGGCTAGAAAAGTTTGATTCCATTCAGCTGAAACTTTGCTTATGCATGGCATCCAGAATAGTGGTTTCCAAGTCAGTAGCAATTTCTTCCTTGTACCGCTGATAGAACCCTACAGGAATTCCATCAGGTCCTTGTGATTTCCATGGTGCCATTTACTTGATTGCCTTCCAGACCTCTTTCCTAGTGAAAGGTTGTGCTAAGGCAGTTGTCTGCTCTTGGGAGATACATTCCTCCAATTTTGTTGAGTTGCGCAATAAAAAACGAAGATTGTAGACTATGTGTCTGGCTAAGAGCAACATATATGTCAGCAAAGTGACTTTGAATTAGAGTTGCCAGCTGCACTTGATCTTGGATCCAAAAGCCAATGTCATCCTTCAACTCTGTAATCCATTTATTACCTCTTCATATATTAGCCCATTTATGAAAATATTTCCTTGTTTGGACATCAACTCATTTTACATTTTCATTCATTTTACCTCTTAAACACAAAACCCTATGGAAAAGAAAATATCATCCAAACAATTTTCTGATTTACATTTTAAATTCTAACTTGAAATACTTTTTGTTAGTGTAATAACCATTTTAGAACTACAAATAGTTCAGTGAAAAATTTGGCAGGATTCCATTGTTGAGTGATTATTTTTGGAAAAGTTCTTTTTTGCAGTGACTATAATTGACAGTATTTAATTGTTTAGTGATGACTTGTACTTGATATTTTAAAATGTAGTTCGAAATATTTTTTTCAAAACCAACATCCAAACAACATTTTTATTTCCTATTTAGTTTTCAATTTGAAACACTTTCCACTTTTAAGTGGCAAAATGAAATGTAAGTTGACGTCCAAACAAGCACTTAGTGTTTCTGTCACCTTGGAGGAACCAATTGACTTTGGCTCTTTGATGCCAAAACTCCTGTTGATGCTGCAAAGCCGTTTCAACCACCTCTTTTTGTTGCTGTACTCCGGATAGCAATAATGGATTAGAAGTATCTTCTTCCCATTTCATCTGGCAGGATTGAATAAGATCAATTTGTTTAACCACGTATTGATCAATGTTTCCAAACTGTGAGGTACTCCATCTATGTAATTTGGACAAACTACCATGAAGTTTGAAGGATAAATTTTCCTATGCTGACTCTATTTCCTGTACCACTATCTCTTTTGATTGACCACAGTTGACCCAGAATTGCTCAAATTTCTTCTTTTGAGGTTGCGAACCAATGATCTGAGTTGACAATAGGGAGGTTGCGAACCAATGCCTTATCAAAATGTTGTAACCAGTCAGTAGTTCCAAAGGCTCTGTCTAGCCTTTCAAAAATGGATTGTGAGGCGTGACAATTGTTTGACCATGTGAACCAACAACCTAGATGTCATCGTTCTTCCAAGTTGTTTTGCTGCAAAAAGTTGCGGAGACATCTTGTATCTTTTTCTCTAACTAGCCTACCACCTAATTTATCCTCCTGATTTAGAACTTGATTAAAATCTCCTAACACAACAAAGGGATAATAAAAACTACTAATGGTACCGTTTAAACTGTCCCAAAATCTAGCCCTTCCTTGTTGTGAAGGAATGCCATACACAAAAACTGCTAGCCAGGTAAAACCAGAGGCCTTTTTTATGATGGCCACTATTACATTGGAGTCACTACGACCCACAGGGTCTACAACAGAAGAGTGAAGGTAAGGAGAAGACTGTTGCCAGGCCGCTATATTATCTTTGATGGTCTTAGTTTCCATAAGATGTAAAATACTAGGTTGATATTGTTTTACTAACTTATTTAAATAAAACTGAGCAGAAGCCTGGTTAAGCCCTCTACAGTTCCATGAGAGTAGAGTCATTAAGGTGAAGGCAGTCGTTCTGGCACAACCGCCGCAAAGCACTTCAGATTGTCCTTGAATGAAGTGGCCATCTCCAGCAATACAGGCCCCTTCCCCTCCTCTTCACTTCCACCAGCACTCTTCTTCTTCTTAGTAGGCGAACTCATATTTTCCTCATTTGGCTATTCAGAGCTCCTTTTCCTACTGCCATCGGACCCTGACGAAGCATAGAGTGGATCACTCTCTACTGTCATGCTCCAAGTACCAGAATATTACTTTTTCACCTTGCTATTCTGATAGGCAGCTAATCCTTCTGATTGTACATCCCTCTCAGTAGTATTCTCATCTTCACAGACACTTTGAGGCACATTATTCCATATCTCAAAATCCCAAGCTGCCTTCCTAACCTTAAGCTAGCATTGATTGATTCAAGAACTTGAGCTTGAATGATACTCCTCTTCCAGAGATTGTATGGACATTGACCAACCTTTTTCCTTTCTATTGGTCACCTTTGCAACTTTCTTCCTGCCTCTAAGTGTTGGAGGAGATCTAGAGTGCCTATTACAAGATGAACCTCCACTGTAGGAGTCATCTGAAGAGTAATACATCTGTGTTGTAAATGCTTTTTCTACAGAATTAGGGTTATCATTGCTCGGACTATCACTATCAAGCCCAATAGAATCATTCATCAGTACATCAGACACATCACTAGCAATCCCATGAAATTCAGAATTGGATATAATTGCATCTACTACAGAATTAGGAGAGTTAAAAACATCATCAAAAGGTGGGTAATCAGGAACATGTGCAATGAACAAAGATATGACATAAGATGCCGTATCAGAAAGATCTTTAGGTGGCGGAACTTCAGGGATATGATAAAATGAATCTAGCATTTCGCTATCTGAATCCACAAAATTTGAATGCCACAGTAATTTGAATTCTTAAACTGTGAGGGTGATGAGTAGAAACTACCCGAATCAGAGAAACACAGTTCCTGTGGATCAGGGAGGCACTGGAAGCCCACATCTTGCCTAGATTCCATCTCTGCTACTGGGGCTGCCTATGTTCTGTGTCAACAAAGCCATTCTCCCTAATGGTATTCTGTAAGAAAGTAGACAGGACATCATTGGTAGGCAGATGTTGCAAGGGATCATCTTGATGGTACTCGTTTGAGTCAGCACCATTGTTATTATGGGGCTCATCGCCCTGGTCATCATCATCATCTCCTTGATCATCATCAGCATCATCATCATTGTTCTCATTATCACCATCATCTTTGTCTGGTGGATAACTTGGATACCAGGCTGCTGGTTGAGGCTCATCCAGTTCTGTTATCTGGAAGCCATCTTGAACATAATGTTCTGGAACATATGCTCATAGTAATCTTGCAATTGGAGATACTTGTTAAACTTGATTCTAGTGCATCGTCTCTTCTTGTGGCCATGAGCACGCCTGGTTGTTGTTTATTGATAAAGGGAGTAAATTACTGTTTCATGCCAAGAATTTTAAATAAAATCTCTAAGTGAATCCCCTGGTTGAATTCCTTGATGCCTTAAATTTATCAAGGACAAATTTTATTTGTTTTTTTCCAAACCTATTTTATGGGCCTTCAAGGTAATTGATGATAAACTACATATCGATACATAGCTAGAAAAAGTAACTAGTCAAATTCTGACACCCAAGAATGCAACATGGGTTGATCCTTTGACTTGATCGATATGATTCTATTAGTAGACATTGAATTACATTTTCACCATGGAGCAGTTTTGGGTTTCATTACAATTTGAACGTTGTTGGGGCATTGTGAAATTTTAATTGGAGTTTAAAAGGTCAAAGTTCAAAATTATGGACGGAGGTGGGTGTAATGTTAACGGTTGGTTTGTGAGTAATTAAATTCAAAATTGCAAGATTACATGCTCCTATTATTGATTTGTTGATAGTGAATTTTGTAGATCTAATAAATATCTCATACTTTCATTGGTTCATACCGAAAAGAGTTTTTCGTCTAAATTCATTTTCGTATGGTTGTATCCTTATTGTTGGTAGTGTTTTGTTGTTGGTCAACCTCCCAATTTGACTATATTTTATGCTCCTGGGTTCTTGCAAGTTGGGGAGAGTTTGATTGCTCGTACTTATACTAGGTATTTTGTATTGTTTTGGCTAACTACTTTTACTTATTATCCCTCCTTCTAACTCACCTAAAAGTCGTTTCCATGCGCCCGGTGAGAATTGATCCAGGATTTTCTCAAAAAGAGGCCTTCTACAAAATTATTGGGCTATATTCGATTTTCGATTTTGTATTGTTAGAACAAGTAGCTAGTTTGCTTGATTTGGTGTTTGTTAATCATTCCAACAGAAAGATTATATTTGAACAGTGACCATAATAATACTGTTCACAGAGTAAACGAAATTTGCACGTAGATACTTACCATGACAACTTAACAAATATTATTACAAAACAAAGGCTGGCAATCAACTTAACGACTTATTATTACGACCACAACATATATAAACATCCTCTATGTAATATATATATATATATATATACATATACATATATATATATAGATGTGTACTCATGGACAACAACAACTTGAGGAGAGGTTATTAAAATTGAAAAGTAGCAAAGGATACATATTTCTAGGAAGAAGCCTAAATTCTTTTTTTGTATAAAGGCTGCCAAAGGCAAAGTCACAAAAGTCCCTAGAGATGTAGGGATCCAGGAGCCTTATCAGAGGCTAGTAATCCTAATATACTACACGGAGGTGTTGACAAAATATGTCTATCCTCTGGACATGAGAGCCCTAGTTTGGCTAGTGAGTCTACCACTTTATTTCGATGACGGCTCACATACCCAATGGATATATGCTAATTAAATTGGAGCAACTCTCTAACTCTGTTTCTTACACTACTATTAACAAAGCCAGGGCTCTCCGTAAACAGAAATTCAACAACCTTCAAGGAACCTACTTCTAGCATAATCTTTCTAAAACCCAAGTCCCAAGCCACTTGTAAACCATGGAATGTTCCCCAAAATTTAGCCTCCAGGCTATTGCAATTACCAACATTGGCTGTATAGCCAATTATCCAGTCCCCATCTGAATTTCTGATTGTTCCTCCAACTGCCGATTTGTTCGTGCTTCTTATTGTAGCTCCATCTGAGTTTATTTTCACCCATTCAGGTGGTGGAGGGTTCCATGGTTCTTGTTGCTCTGGATTTCGATGGTTCTCCAAACCTTGTGCAAAAATCTGCCTGGAGCGATCCACCTCACTCACCAGAGCTGAAGTGGCAAATTTAAGAGCTCTTTGTGAAACGACCTCTCCGCCAAACACTTCTTTGTTTCTGGTGTTCCATAATTTCCAGCATCCCACAGCAAACCACAGAGGCCAAGCATGTTGATCCTGCAGAGCATTAGAACTTAAATTAGAAGTAAGCCATATCTTAAAATCAGTTGCATACCAAAAGTCTATTCCAAGCGATGCTTTGATACTCTTTCATAGCTCCTTGCTCCTGAAACAGTCCCTGAAAATATGAAACAAAGTTTCCTCGTGACCACAGAAATGACAACTACTATCGTCCGAGATGTGCCTCCGTTTTTGTTCCATATTGGACATGAGTACTCCTCTCATTAGTAGCCATAGGAAGGTCTTGATTCACTCCGGACCTTTCCACTTCCAAACCAACCTCCATTGTTTCAAACGCCACAAAAAGGTATAATGGAACGCTCAACATGGTACTTTTTCCCTTCTTGGATATACTGGAGAAATTCAAGGTGATTGAACTCCTTGAGTTTCAACAAATTCTGCTCATCAATCAGCTCTTTTGGAACTCTAATCTTGTCACCCATAAACGAGAACTATTCAATGCGGAACTTCTCTTTAGTTCCTTTCATCAATACCTTATGCAGAGGGGCAAATATTCTTCCATTGCTCCATGCCTGTACAAATATTTATGAATAGTAAATTAATCCAACCAAATAATACATTTTGTGATACCCAAAAAATTTCCTAAAAGAATTTAAAAAAAGAAGATTTTAAAGTTGTGGGTGCAAAGTTAAAATGATAATACCATACAATAATAATAGTAATTGGAAGAGTAGAGAGTCTTCAATAGTATAAGATTAATTAAGTTAAAGATAGTGGAAAAAGTAAGAGGCATCCATAAAAAATAAAATAAATGATAAAATACAAAGTAAGGGAGATTAATAAATAGTAAGAAACATCAATGAATAGTAATAAAATAATAACAATAATAATAAATATAAAAACAATAGAAACTTCCATGAATAGTAAAAATAATGTTAAACTAATAAAAGGCAAATATGAATAGTAAAGGTCATCCTACAAAAAAATTAAAATAATATGGAAGAGTTAGGTAGGAATAATAACTAATATTAAAATAATAAGGAAGAGTTAGTTATGAATAAAATATTAGTGAAGGGATAGGTAGGAATAGTGAAATATATTTTAAAAAAATAAGGAAGGGGTAGGTAGAAATAGTGAAATCTTCACCTATATTTAAGAGCATTTCACTTTGAGTTTGGGCAAATCAAAATCAACTAAGGGAGTGGACACTTCCAAGTGAAGGACTACACCCTAGTTGAAGTTTAAAAATTTTCTAGAAGGTCTAAGGAAGCTCAAGGTAGCTTGGGGGGAATTCTTAGAGTTTCAAAGGTCTTCTATGAGGTAACCTTCGAGTCTCACTTTTAGTTGTAGTTTTTGTTTTGTTATTAGGAAGAAATGCTAGGAATCATGTTCTCTTTATTTAGATTCTTGCTTACGATCTAGGATTTGGAATGCGTAGAACTAGGAAGTTATTTATATCATAGTACATATGCTTTTGTGTTAGTAGCTCGTTTTCTTAAATAATAACGTACGTTTCTTAGTTGTAATATACTTACTTCCAAAATAATGCTATATATATTTTCATGATACCAGTACATTTTTCTTAAATGATACTATAAATTGGATTTTGTAATATACATGCTTTCAAATATATGTCATATACGTTTCCTTAATATTACACTTTCTTAAACCTCAATATATACTCTCTTAGTAGTAATATACTACTTTTCTAAACAATATTATATATGTTTCCTTAGTAGTATACCTAAAGAAAAATAAAAGTATATCTAGTTTTGTATCAAAATAATTCCTTAATAAGGTTTTAAATATGTACTAATAGATCACTAAGGGATTTCATGTCTAAGGAGATTGGATTTTTAGTGGGACCGTTTGTGACCCCTAAAACCTTTCTTGAGGATAATTTCTAGTGTGAAGGTGGTATATAATATTTACTAATAAATCACTTAGAGATGTCCTGTCTAAAGAGTTTGGATTTTAAGTGGGACTGTTTATGACCCTTCCAATCTTTCCTGGGGATTAATTCTAAAATGATTTATGGTACACTATTATAAGAGATTGAAATGTAATATTTTCCAAATATTGTGTTTAAATTTGAAGAAGTAATAAAAGTTTTAAATATTCAGAAGACCTTATGAGGAATGCTTTCAAAAGATATTAGTCTCGTGATTTTCAAAGATATATTCATATTTTTCAATCAAATTTTCTTAAACATAGGATTTCATAAATTTATGATGTATCTTCTAATGATCCAAAGATTTTAGTATTTTTATATTTTAATACATGGTCACGTATTTATTTTAGAACAATACCATCCCACTCTCATTAATGAAGTATATCTTATCTTTCACTTCATCTCCAATTTTCATTTCTAATAGGATTCTAGCATAGTTCACTCTTTCTCTATTAGTTGTGGTTTCATGAGTCATTAGTGGGATACCAATTGCACTAGTTATCCTACTTAGAGATGAGCTATGCCAACAGTTCCAGACTTCTATGTTGAAGCCATACAGGGACTCTATGAACTTCTTTATAGTTAATTCCCTTTTCCACTGTCCATGGTTTGACAACAATCGACTTACTTCCCAAGTGATAGACATTATGGCTCGGTACAGTATCCCTAGCTTGCATAGTAGTAAACCGAATGACAAACAATCTATAAGGTAGTAAAATTACCTTATCAACACGTAGATGTCCCCAGAGATTGCGAAAATTCTTGTTCATAACTGCATATGGTGGGTTGGATCCGAGGACAAAGCTCAAAACCAAAGATTACCAGAATTGAGTCTCAGCTTCAACATCTGTGTTCAGAATCTGACCAATTTTCTGTCCATCAACATCCTACGGTTAAACAAACTCCAGCTTCGTTCCCCCATGTCTCATCTTGGCGATATCAAATTTCTTTCATATATTTTGCCTGCTGCTACTTTCCAGATCCTCTGCCCATGAACGTCGATGCTTAGCAGTAACCTGGGTCTGGTTCTCTTCTGGATTCCCTCAATTTGTAAATTACAGTTCGCGTTCATTACTTTTGACGGGACGATTCAGTAAAAAAAAGGAGCAAAGGGACTTTAGAATTTTCCATGCATATATGTAAATTTACCTTTCCAAAAAATATTCATATTGTGATGTTTAAGTTCATTACAAAGTAACTAATTACTGATTAATGTGGTTATAATGTAAATTTTCAAATTAATTTAGAGTTATAATTGAAATAATTATATTCATAAATAAATTAAATTATGACAAGTTATTTCTAGAAAATACTATCCGAATTGATGTATTTTACCTTTGGCTAAAAATTAATGACTTAGTATTTTATTTTTTTGAGGAAATGAATATAATTTCATTTACATAAACATTGGATTTGATTTAGAATTTTTTCAGATTGAACAAAAAAAAAAAAACGGGAAAAAGGAAAAGAAGAAAAGAAGAGAAGAAATTCATAGCCAGGACGGGCGCGTGGACCCTCTCTTTCCTTACCGCAGTTGGGGTCCTCTTTGTTGCCAACCGTTCCCTCTGTAAACGACAACTGAGTAAAGAGATCAAGCCATTCCAATTGTTGCAACCCAGTTGAAATTTCACTTTATTCTTCATCATTCTACATTGCCCTTGCTTTCTCAGTTGTTGCCAATAAGATCGCCGTTGCTGGGTTCGTCGGAGAATAGTGCTCTGGCCGTAAGTTTTTTTGTATTCAATTTTTTTTTTCCTTTCTTCTCCCAATCACAATAGAGTTCTTGCTTATTGTTCCAATCAATTTGGGGGCATTTTTTTTTTTTAACGGATTGGATGTTGTTGGTTGAGGTTCCGATTTTAAGAAGTTCAGGAAAAATTTGAATTTTTGATGGTTAATTTCATCTTCGGCCTAAATCCGTTTTAGGAAAGTTATCAAATTTCTGCTTCTTTTGTTTTGCTTTTGTTTTGGGTAAACATGATTAAGATTGGCTATTAAGTCACTGGGAATATTTCTGATTATTGCTTTTGCAGCTCTGTGTCACTGCACTTGTAACATTATTAATTCTCGTGATGTCTACTTTTCAGCTTCTGAATTTCATCCTTTTGCTCGAATAACTACTGCCTGAGCCCTGACGGTTGATCTTTTCTGTCATCAGATCATTTGTTTTATGAGGAGAATTGGGAGAAGGGCATTTAAATTTTAAGCTGTGGGAATGTATCAGTGGAGAAAATTTGAGTTCTTCGAGGGAAAATATGGTGGAAAAATCACCATGCCGGAGGAAATTAGTGGCACAATCCAGTGCTGCTCTAGTGGGCGAGGTAAAGTTGTAGTAGGATGCGATGACGGCACTATTTCATTGCTGGATCGTGGTCTGAAGTTCAACTATCAATTCCAAGCTCACTCTACCACGGTGCTTTACCTCCAACAGCTTAAGGTAACACAACCGTTATACTCTTAGCATTCCCCTTTTTCGTTTGTTCTCAGGCTTTCTCATTCTTTTCCCACATTTGTGTAGATTCTGATCTGTTTGTATAAAAAGAGATTGCGTCTTAGTGGGGCTTTGGATACGAACTAACTTTTCTTATTGCTTTCTCTGTTAGCAACGGAATTATTTAGTGACTGTTGGCGAAGACGAGCAACTATCTTCACAATCTTCAGCTGTGTGCATGAAGATTTTTGACCTTGATAAGATGCAAGAGGAGGGACCGAGTACGTCGACTCCTGACTGTGTTCAGATATTGCGTATATTTACAAACCAGTTTCCTGAAGCAAAGGTATGTATTTTGTTTCTGAATAATCTCATGTCATTTGTAAAGGTTGTGGAATCTAGTATGTTGAGAACAATGACTGCTTGCAGATAACATCATTTCTAGTTCTAGAGGAAGCCCCTCCTATTTTACTGGTTGCAATTGGACTGGATAATGGTTCTATCTATTGCATTCAAGGTGACATTGCCCGTGAGCGTATCAAGCGTTTTAGGCTTCAGGCAGATTCTGGTCATCCGGACAAGAGCCAGTCTTCCATAACAGGGCTAGAGTTCCGTGTGGATGGTCAGGTTCTTCAACTGTTTGCAGTTACTCCAAGCTCTGTACATCTGTTTAATTTGCATACTCAACCGCCCAGAGGTCAAATTCTTGATAGCATTGGATCTGATGTTCCCAGTGTTGCAATGAGTGATCGATTGGTTCGTGTTTCTAGTTCTCTTTGTTGCATATCTCTTCTTGTGTTTTTGTCATTCCATTTATTTATCTGAAGATATTCTATGTTGCGTACCTGTCAGGAACTGATCATTGGCCGACCAGAGGCTATATATTTCTATGAAGTTGATGGTCGAGGCCCTTGTTGGGCGTTTGAGGGTGAGAAGAAATTTCTTGGATGGTTTCGTGGGTATCTCCTTTGTGTTATAGCTGACCTATCTACTGGAAAATATTCTTTCAATGTTTATGATCTGAAAAATAAATTGGTCGCGCATAGTGTTCCAGTGAAAGAAGTTTCTCATATGCTTTGTGAATGGGGTAATATTATACTCCTTATGAAGGATAAATCTGCCATATGTATTGGTGAGAAAGATATGGAAAGTAAGCTAGATATGCTTTTTAAGAAGAGTCTCTATACTGTTGCTATAAATATAGTACAGACTCAGCAGGCCGATGCTGCTGCAACTGCCGAAGTGCTGAGGAAATATGGAGATCATCTGTACAGTAAGCAAGAATATGATCAGGCAATGCATCAGTACATAGATACTATTGGTCATCTCGAACCCTCATATGTTATACAGAAATTTCTGGATGCTCAAAGAATTTACAACCTTACCAATTACTTGGAGAAGTTGCACGAAAAAGGACTTGCATCAAAAGATCACACTACCCTTCTTTTGAACTGTTACACCAAATTAAAAGATGTTGATAAGTTGAATCTGTTTATCAAAAGTGATGATGGTATCGGAGAAAATAAATTTGATGTAGAGACTGCCATAAGGGTCTGCCGCGCTGCTGGTTATCATGAGCATGCTATGTATGTTGCTAAAAGGGCTGGGAAGCATGAATTGTACTTAAAGATTTTGCTTGAAGATTTGGCCAGGTATGAAGAAGCCTTGCAATATATTAATAGCCTTGAACCAAGTCAAGCTGGTGTAACAGTTGAAGAATACGGGAAAATCTTAATTGAGCACAAGCCTGCGGAGACAATTGACATACTTATGAGGCTTTGTACGGAAGAAGAATCTGCCAGAAGGAGCTCAAGTAATACCTACATGTCGATGTTGCCTTCCCCTGTTGATTTTATTAATATCTTTGTCCATCATCCCCAGTCACTTCTTGAGTTTCTTGAAAAATACACTAGCAAAGTTAAGGACTCGCCTGCTCAAGGCGAAATTCACAATACCCTATTAGAGTTGTACTTGTCGCATGACCTGGACTTTCCATCAATTTCTCAGTTTAATGCTAGCCAATCTGGAGACACTGTAGCAGGCAAGACATCAAACTCAGCCACAATTTCAAATGGACGGTCCAATGGCAAACCTATCAATGATCAAAGAGTTGCAAATGAGGAAAAAGACCGCCAAGAAAGACGTCAAAAGGGGCTAAACTTGCTTAAGAGTGCATGGCCACCAGAATTAGATCAGCCAATGTATGATGTTGACCTTGCTATAATTTTGTGTGAAATGAATTCTTTCACAGAAGGGCTTTTATATCTCTACGAGAAGATGAAACTTTACAAAGAGGTAGTGGCCTGCTACATGCAAGCACAAGATCATGAGGGTTTGATTGCATGCTGCAAGAGGCTTGGGGACGTGAGGAAAGGTGGTGATCCCTCTCTTTGGGCAGATGTGCTAAAATATTTTGGTGAACTTGGGGAAGACTGTTCGAAAGAAGTTAAAGAAGTTTTGACTTACATAGAAAGGGATGACATTGTACAACCTATTGTTGTTCTTCAGACGCTTTCTAGGAATCCATGTCTCACTCTCTCTGTGATCAAGGATTATATTGCTCGGAAGCTGGACCACGAGTCAAAGCTTATTGAAGAAGATCGAAGGGCAATCGAGAAGTATCAGGTTTGTAATCTGTTTTGTTTTTGGTGATCTTTCTATTATTTTCTTTAGTCTGTCTCTCAATCTTTGCAATATGTGGGTTGGATATGCATGTGGTTGTTATTTGTGTCCTTGATTCCCTTTTCATTTTTCCAAAGAAAAGATCTTTCACTACAAAAGTAAATTTATCATCTTCATATCTCACAAGGCTGCAACTTGCTGCTGTGGCATGAATCATACTTTTGCTAACACAATCTTATATATATTTGATAGCTTAAGGGCTGACTTATGGTTGACATATTGCCGCTTAAAGACTTGGCTACTTTTTGAAGTTCCCTGTTTTTATGGTAAATGCAAACAAAAGTGTCAATAATAAATGTGAAACTGTAAGGAAATGTTTGGAGCAATGTTTAAGCATTTTTGTGCCTTTGTTCCATGTTATAGTGTTTATCTGAAAAATATCTGTTTAGATGCTCTTGATTGTAAAATCTGGTCAACTCTGGCCATTTTTGGAATACTGTGGATCTTTCTATATTTTAAAAGAAGAAATGATCTGTTTCTGAATAACAGTGTTTTTTTTTAAAAATAAATAAATAAATAAAAGACTCATGCATACCATGTTCTGGTGGTGAATAACTACCCAACTTATCAGCATGGAGTCATGTCTGATGTTTCGAAGTTTTGTGAACATCCTGAAGTAGACTAGTATTTGTTGTTGGCATCCATCTGGCCATTGCTTCCTATTAGCGATTGATTTCTTTTATCCTGTCTACTCAGTAATCCTTGGTCCTAGAACTGGTTTCAGTTTTAATGTTTTCCCCCTCAAATATTTTGGCTGAAATTCTTCCATATTGTTCTCATTGTGGCTGGTTCAAGTGTCTACCCTATGCGTTACATGTTCTTACAAGTTTTAGCAGAGTGTTCTACTGCAATGTCTAATGGTATATGTTGGTGGGGATGAGTTTTAGCAGAGCTTTCAGATGATTCTTCTGTTATTTTGCAGGAAGAAACATCGACAATGAGAAGGGAAATTCAGGATCTTCAGACAAATGCTCGAATCTTCCAGCTCAGCAAGTGTACTGCTTGCACTTTTACTCTTGACCTACCTGCTGTCCACTTCCTGTGCATGCATTCTTTTCACCAACGCTGCCTCGGCGATAATGAAAAGGAGTGCCCAGAGTGTGCCCCAGAGTACAGATCGGTTATGGAAACAAAGAGAAGCCTGGAGCAGAATTCAAAAAGCCAAGATCAGTTCTTTCAGCATGTCAAAAGTTCCAAGGATGGCTTCTCTGTGATTGCAGAGTACTTTGGCAAGGGGATTATCAGCAAAACTGACATTAGACAGCAGGCAGGGGCTTAGCCGATTTCTGTTAATTCCAGAAACCAGCGTTTATATATTTTGTCATTTCCTCTTGAGATGTTCCATGCTTTCACAGGTTTTCGAAGAAATCATGGAAAAGTTGAAGAATCCAAACGAGTATTTCTTTGGTTTAGTCGTGCATGACATTACCCTCATGTTTATTTTGGTATAGAATGATCATGGCATCTAAGGCCATCCTTTACAAATATGTGTATGACTTGGTTTCTTGGAAAAAGTTTTTTATGGTTAATGCTTTTTGCTAACCCATCTTCAGCTTTTCGTTTCAAGTCTTTCATTTGGGTTATATAAAATTAGTTCTGTCAATTTGAACATCACATTCTACTGTATTAATTCCTGCTTTGGGAATTTACAAACATTTGACAAGGTTGGATTTCTTGGCTTTACATTCACATGAGAAATGAGGACAACTGCATGTGTTGTGTATTAGGTAAGATTAGTGAAGTAATTAGCCTGCCCATTCAGATTTCAGAGATCCTTCTTTTAAATTAGCCTTAGTTCTTCCTTGGATTGTGTCACCATGAAAGACAACCTCTTATCAAGGATACCACAAAACTATAAGCTTCGTTACAGTAGGTATCAAGGTGATCTCTTTCCTTTTCACGAGCAATCTCACCCAAAATCTCCCTCGCACGAGAAAGGCCTAAAATAGCTATTGGTAAAAGTTGTACTTCATTCCATCGGGGAAGGGGCCTCCTCGACGATTCCAACACCCAACATAACTGCAGTCAGCATCAATTTGCCTGCAACCGGAAAATCTTTATGCTGCATCAGGATTGATTCCACTGTTGAACATAGATCCCCAGAATATGGCAATTCCTGACTCTCTACTCGCGGTGGGAAAATGTCAAATCCACCATCAAAGGATTTCGATTCGGGTCCATAGCACCTACAGGAAGCTTGGAAAAGAACTGTTTCTTCAAGAGCATGCAAGGTTTCCTCTTCAGTCCATCCCTCGGAAACTGATAACTGATGGATTCTTTCCCAATCATCCTGCTTCGCAGCATTCTTCCAGCATTCCTCCAAGAGACTGGTGTTGCGCTTGATGAATGAAGAGCTCGTCCAGGCAAAGACATCAAATGCTCTCAAGGCAAGCACCCTGTTCTGGCTTTTGAGGCACAGATTAATAAGGTCTACTGGAGGACGAATGTCATTACCAACCTTTTGCATTTCATCAATGTCAGAACAGAGTACTGAAATTTCTTCCTACAAAATCAACCAAATCACAAAAATTTTGAAAATCTCAAAGCTCAAAAGGTACAAGAAGCCTTTCTCCCACAATGTGGGTTGTCAAAACAGGAAAATCTTTAAGCTCAAACAGTAGTTGAGGAATTACAAAACCAATGTAGTTAAATGTGGTTAGCCACTAATGACACAATTTGCAAGGCTAATGTCAATTTCCCATAACGCACAAAACAAACACTATCTACATCCAAGCAAAGTGGGAGCCATTCAGAAACAAGACACAGCAAATTTCCATTTTGAACACCAAATAGGAACCGGAGCAGCAAAAACAAAACCCAAAGGAAGAAATGATGATTCCCAATAACACCAAGAGTATGTTAAAGTTTGTTTACATTCTTGCATGGAAAAAATTCATAACAAGTGAAATATTTGAAGTACTTAAAACCAGTACAGGTTTGTAGTGAGTCAGCCACCTTAGATATGTACTCCCCTTTTCAGCTTTGCTGAGGTGAGCTGTCAGGTTTCTCCTCCATTTTTAAGAACATTTGTCTCGTGAATATGCATAATTTGGAATCAATTTAATGCAAAAATTGACCCAAAAAAAAGAAGAAAAAAAGAGACATCCACATTAGAATTATGATAATATAATTTTAAGTGGTTGCAATTTCAAAAATATCTAGGACGGTCCCAGTGCTACTATTTCGCTGCTTGGGCCTAAAGCCAATACTTCTTGACATTAGATCACAAAGTGAGGAAGACCTTGTGTAGGCCCCACCTATTAGCTCGCATGTATGTGTGAAATCCCAACAGAAATTAAGTCATTAGATTAGCTAAGCTAAGCTTTGAGTATGGACACAACAGACTGACGAGTCATCTCAAATTAAAAATCATTTCCAAAGTCTCATGGTTTTAAAATGCTAAAAGGCAGAAAAAAATCAGAGAAGTCAACAACAGTAATTATAGCAGAAAGCATTAATTCGACTACCTGCACTTTCAGCATATTTAAATCTGCTTCGATGCGCTTCACCTTTGTAAGGTAATCAGTGTCTCTTCCTGCCAGAAAGTACACATCGTTAGCTACATATATGTAATTCAGTGGATAACAGTCTCTGAATATTAAAGATAAAAAGAAAATCAACGAAATACACTTTTCCAAACAATTTCCCCTAGAAACTACACATAAGTTTCTAGCTTTGCGGTTTTACCTAAACATGCCAATTTCTATATGAAAAGAACAAAAAGGTAAGGTGCATGTTGGAGAGTTTATTTCAGCAGGCATCACACAATTGCGGGGGAGACAGCAGGTAAAGAGTCGCGCACGAGAGAGTGTATAATTTGTGTGAGAGAAAATATGTGTATGTTGTGCGTACGTGAGAGAGAGAGAGAGAGAGAGAGAGAGAGAGAGAGAGAGAGAGAGAGCTTTGCCTACATATAGTTGCTAGAAGGATGGACCTGGTCTTTTAGAAATTAGGGATTAAAGTGTGCAGTGCATTTGGGATAAGGAGAATGGATTCATAGAACATTCATAAAACACAACTTTGAGTAACCGCACCAATGCAATAACTCCACTATTCCAACAAGAAAATGATGCTAGTTTAATTGGCTAATATCAGGAAAGTCGGGACTTATAGTGTGGCTTTGCATGCTGGAGCCTAGAAGCACACTTCAGTAATATACCTTTGATAGGCTTTAAGATGCCTAAGCTCGGAATATTTGAGGTTACGTGGCTCCAATGCTCTTTGCTTTGATTAAATAACATATATATCTAGGCAATAAAATAAGAAAATGCAATGGTAAGCCTTGGAGGTTTTTTCCCCCCATTAGCAATGAATGCATGTACGAAGTTCGAAGATGCTCTGGTCAGCTTCATAGAGAAAGCTGTGCCTGAAGATTAAATCAAAGTTCAATGTTGTGTCTCAATCGCCAAGGCAACCAAACAACAGTAAGAAGAATACCTGCCATGGCAGCAATCTTTGAAAGATTTAGAAAACGTTTCCTTTCTGCCAGGGATGTTCCGCATTCTATGTGATTAACATCAGCTTCCTCATTAGCCTGAGAGTTATCCTGGGACAGAGCTAGCAAATGAAGAGTTTCAGAAGCAGCAGAAAACTGATTAAGAAACAATTCATGAAGCCAACGAAGGTCTTGATGCGGCTTCAAGAATATAGCAAGCTCATCTGGAAAGTCCTCTCCATATCTCAGGACTTTGGAGTATTGTTTGCTGTCATAAAGCTGCTTGAATACAAAGTTGCTAAATCCACCTTTTGGCCCGACACTCTCTTGCTGCATGATGAAGCAACATAATGACATAAGAAATTAATTATAACTGATCACATCTGAACGCCATTCAAATAAGAGGTAAAAATTCTTCGAAATTGGTTACAAATGGCAGACACTGAAAGACGAGCGAGTGACCAAAGTACAAAGGTACTAGCGGAGACGGCGCTAATCAGTTTAGGAAACAAAATTTAATGTATACCATGAAATTCCGAAGCAGATCAGCATCATTTAAGTCACAGCATATATTCCAGAGTGTTTGATAACCCTCGTGCCTTTTTGCAATAGACAACAACCTAGAAGCCAGCTTTCTAAGGATGTCACCATTTTGTCCTTCAGTTCCTCCACTTGAATCCTGGACAAGCAAATAGTTAAGGAATAAGTTCATCCCAAACCATTTTCTCATAGATATGAACAATTAAAGAAGAATAATAACGAATAAAATACCCATCTGATGGTATTTCCTTGAGTTCATGCAAATCCTATTGATCAATAATCATGATTAGGCACAGATGATTAATTTGAAAATTAAATGGACATCACGATCATTTCTGGGTTCAATTTCCTTCCATTGGACATAAGTATAAAAAGACAATTAGCAGACCCCAAGTATAAAGTAGAGATGCTAAAAAGGAAACAAAAGAATAGAGTGAGGAACAAGTAAAATAAAATAAAAGAGAAGAAAAAAGAGAGAGAATGCCAATAATGTTATCAAAGCCCGAAAACATTAAACATGAGGAATGGTGTAGAAGAACTAGTTTGGTGTCACACCTGGAAGAAACCTGTCACTTGTTTGTGTAGAGAGTCAAGAAGTTCATCTCTCCTTCTCCAGTACTCATCTAGTAAGCTTCTCTGTACTTCATTACGTTCTGATTTTGCTGTTATAGCACCAGTATATGTTTCAAGTAGTACTTCAGTGAGGGCTTCCATATGTGAATAAAAGTCAGATTTGGTGGCATCTTCTAGATGAGATGCCTCATTCGAAAGCCGAAGCATGTAAGAAGCGATGCTCCACATGCCACTCCGAACAACAGAATGGCAATACCATGGTGTCAAGCCATCTGGAGGAGGATACCAGAGGTGATGCTCACTTCTGTACTCCACTGAAGAGTAAAATATACTCACACATGCATTAGAAAGTTCACAAACTCGACGAAACTGCAATGTTACAGGCATATCTTCACCAATTATGCAATCAAGATGTTTCTCTAGGCAGTAAAACAACTCCTCGATATCAGAAACCTTGCTGTAAAACACTTCAGCATTCTCTCTGTCCATCAGAAGAACAGTTTTCCTGCGGGCTCTCTCACCAACAAACTGGATAAGATCCCAAAGAGCACCAGATAGCTGACTCTCTGAACGTGTGTAAGACCCAACTCCATTTCCATGGCTCTGACAAATAGTATTCTGTAGCTCCTTCAGTTGAATCATTCCGGAGAGCTTTTCCCCATGTTCCAAGATGATTTGCAATGACAGTCCTGCTTGCACGAATAAAAAATAATCTCCAATAAGAAAAGAAAAATTTGCATAAAAAACCGAAAAGTAACACCAGAAATGAAATGTTCCCCACAGGTTTACTGGTCCACATAACAAACTCGAAACACATCTTAATATCTCAGGTGGATGTAAAGGCTATTAAACGAATGACAATTAAGCGATTGATTGCTGATCACTTCTATAATCTTTAGGCCTAGACTCTATATTCCATCAATCGTGATGACTTCCAAAAAGAAGTCATTGAAGGATTTAAAACACGTTCGATTAGAGACAAAGCAAAAGAACCCATCCACCCAATAAGTATAAAATTACAAACCATTCATGATCAACAGGACACGCCAGATCCATTAAGCCGATCATCTAGCTGATTTGAATACTAACCACAACACTTTTGATCAGCCTAAGATTCTTATTTAGTTCAGGATCTTCTGCACTCACCACAACAGTAGTAGCATCAACAGGTCAAACTTTTAAGAAGCAGAAGCTACTCTCTGAGAACCAGTCATGGTGCTGGTTTAGCGAAGGGTGTATACTGAAATAAAACTAGATAAACCAATTCTAGTGGACGATCCCACAGATCATCCAACACCCAGAATTCCACATGCCTGTCAACAGGGAAATAATATTTGATCAAACTACCCAACTATGAGGATATCTAGACAGCTAAAAATGAAGAATCAGTCTTACCATCAAAGAATGGGTAGACGTTGATTTTCATATCATTCTTGTAAGAAGGGGATTTCAAAGTGTTCCAAAAATAGAGAGGAGAGAGGCCTTAGTGGCTACACTACACTTCTGCTTAGTTGTATTTCTCCACCTTCCAAAGAAACTTCTTGAGGCTTAAATATAACACAGGAATGAGAAAAAGTGGTAAAGGTATACCAAATCATAGACCTTGGTTGGGTGAGGCAGTTGAAATGAAAGAGAACCCTAATTGGAAATCAAGATAGAAAATTTAAAAGCAAGTTCCAAGGGACTCCTCTCTGAACAAAAGCTCTACCTATCCTCTTAACTAGAGTTCCTAATATATTTCTCTCCTAGTCAAGCAATGCAAATCGTAAGCCTCTTTATTAGAATTTCTGAATCTCTTAAGTAGCAAAAGTAAGAAATAACTCAAGTAACCATTCCGCATCATCTGTAAGAATGGGAATGACGATTAATTGCTTGGAAGAAGCCTGTAACAGCGACATTTAGCTAGAAATTAGTACGAAAAGGCATCATAACAAAGTGAAAGAACACGTTAATGCTGCTTTCTCATAGATGGCTGAAAATTTCCTCCATTGGGGATCCAAGTAAAAGAAGAAGGAACTAACTCACTCTAAAATATTATTGGTAACTACATCAAAGTGATTTAGTAAAGCAAAAATAGTTAGATAATCACCTTTGACTTAGTTTTTTCTTTCACATTGTTCAACTGCTGGTGATTTACAAATTTTACATCTATAAAAATAATTCCACAATGCGAATGAGGAGTTGGTTCAGTGGTAACACCACCCTTGCTCCAAGAGGAGGTCATGAATTCAATCCCCCACTCCAACAAAAAAGTGAGGGGCTGGCTCTCACCTTGCCTATTGGCATCCCTAGGGGCTTGTTATGGCTAACCCACTAATGAACCCCCGATTTCGCACCCGAGCTTGTCACCACGGGCTTGCCTAGGGTGGTTTACCTCCCACTGTGGTTTGCCGGCTATTGCAGTGGGCGTGGGTTTACCCATCTCTGGTGGGGTTCCCGGCGTTATCAAAAAAAAATAATAATAATTCAACAATCAGAAAATAGTTTGAACCGGGGGAAAAAAAAGAACCATTCCTCTAACACTAATATGGCAATTTATAATCATAATACAGCAAACAGGGATTACTTATGAAATTCATAGAGAAAGCATGGAAGTTCAGTTTTACTGGAAATTTATAACTCAGTACTATAAGCTGGTCCACATCAGACAAATATGCATTTGCAAATCAACAAATATCCCTTCAACTTGGTAACAAGGTTTATAAACGTTATAAGCCATAAAACTCAAATCAGCACAAAGATGCAATGATAATTAAAAGCAAGATAAGCGATCATACTCTGTCGAGTACACAGATCATCGTGACACTTGGATAAAGCAAGGAACTGAAGAAACTTCTCATGCTTCTGCTGCTTCTCCATCAGCTGAGCAGACACAATTGAGAGAGCCACAATCTCCACACCCCTGGTTGTCGTCCAATGCTTAGCTAAGGTATCCACGATAGATTTGCTCGTTCTCGCAAAAACATTTGTTTCACCCTCTCTCTCAAAGGCTCCAGAATGTTTTAGTTTGTCAAGTGACCCTTCAACTTGACCAGACAAGAGAAAATCATTGAAAAGCTGATTCAGCAATGCTTCCGATTCTTCATCTTGAGCACTTCGCCGTCCAATTCCAGCTAATGGTGCCCGATGTCTATCACCAGCATCTCCTGCTTCTGAGCTAGCCCTTCTGGGAGGAAAATTACCAGCAAAAGAGAGATTCTTCCTCTCCTCTTGTGAAACTCTTTCATTAGAGCTCCCTTTCCGCGACAAGCTTCGTTCAGGTGGCTCAACACCACCAAGTAGAATAGCCCTCTCAGGGATCGCCCAGATTCCAGCTTTCTCTGTGAGGACAGCCCAGGCTCCATCTTCACCATCATCTGAAGAAGGGAAAACTGAAGCATCAAGAACTTTTCCAGCATCATACGGGAGATCAAACTGGTAAAGACGCGTGGCAGTTCTCCAGTAATGGGACACTGTAGCAGTTCCATCTCCGGAAAGTATAATGACAGAACCCGCTGGCTTACCACCAATCTTCAACCTCATTGAAAATAAGACCTCCTCATCTTCTACTCTTGCTTTGGGTATTATTACCTGGATCGGAGCTTTTTTCTCCAAAACCCTCTCACACGTTGGATTCACATACTCTGCAGTGACATCAACTCCAGATTTATATTGCATGATCAGAAGTGAATACTCTGTGTAGCTTGAACTGGTGATTCGATCTTTACAAAAGATAGCAATAAGAATAGTAATAACCTTCCCATCATTGTCAATCTGTAGATCCAGAGGCCAGATGCGCTTCTGCCCTGCTAGATCCTTCTGGATCCCAAGATCACCATCAGACCCAATGATTTCATGAGACCAGTGCTTAGATACATTATAACCAGGTGTAAATTGAACTGAAAAGGACTGTATCTCACGATCCGTCAACAAAAGAAATTGTCTTTTACTTTCATCAGATGGTCTCAATGAGTGCCATGTTAACGACCTCGGATACCCCTTGCTTCGAACTGAATGACAGGCATCAGTGCCTAGATAAGTTGTGTCCTTGTACACCTTTTTCCTTTCAATGGAAGAGGGGCTGCAAGAAAACTGCCATAACTCACCATTGGAACTACAAGCTAGGGATATACAAACATGGGGGGCACCAGGAATTGGAGTTGCTATCAAAGAGGTAAAGGAGCTTGATAAGGAGCTTGACTCCTCGGGAAGAGCATAACTCACAATTGGAGGGCTTCCAGCATCAGAATAGATATCTGGCCAATACAAAAGAATTCGAGCTTTTCTATTGCACAAAATGATGCCAGCTGAATTACATTGTGTGATGATGTTATGACTATTTCGATTTAAGCTATCCCAGTCAAGAAAACATATTAACCAATCAGTAGAACCCAAAGAACTTCTGCTGCTATCTCCAGATCCGAAAATATTGGAAGGAAGATCAAGAACAATGCACTTTCTCGAAGCTGTAGGAAACAAGTAACTCCAGATAAACAACTTATTTCTGCTTAATACCCAAGCAAGCAATGTTTCCTTGTCCAATCCTCCAGAGATGAACAACTCACCTGCAAGGAGAAGATACTTATGAAGGAAAATCCTCTTCAATGTACAGCTTCAAGAGCCCTAACCATGGTTTCAAGAGCACTAACCAGGAGATTGTTTTGCCATTAAAGCTGCTTGTTGCTCGTCACGTAGAACTTGAGGGAATTCTCCAACAAATACAGGTTTAATAAGGTCCACATCTTCAGCCTTTTCAGTTCTCTTCACAGGGGGGATCCTGTAGAAACCAATGCAAATTATTCAGCCAAAATCTAATGAAATCCCTAGCCATCTTTCACTGTCTTCATATCATCCACAACCAACTTGTCACAAAACTCATGCATTTGAATTTTTGCTTGTCTATAACTCCCCTTATCCCTATACGGGCAATGTGTCCTGCATATACATTTGAATGAATGTATAGCAACTTAAGCATATATGTGGGGAACAAGAGAGAGCTCAAGGCTTTGGATTAAGCTAGAGGTTTAGCATCAAACTTCTCTTCCAAATTGATAATCATCTAAACGAATACGAATGATAAAGCAGACATAGGATTACTATTTCAAGAACAGTACTAAAGAATATTTTAATAGCACTTAAACACCAAAAATAACCTTTAAGAAAGCACAAATGTCAGCAGATAAATCTTCTTAAAGGGCAAGAATTGCCTTACTACGAAGAAAAGCTTTGTATAATAGCTCAACAGAAGATCATGGACATGTGAAACTAAATCTTTTAGTTGAAGAAGAAAGACTCCTAACAACAAGATAAAATATACTCACTGCAAAATACAGACTTAGATGTAACAATATTGCGCCATTTTCAGATAATTCATTAGATTATCCAGGAAACTGTGGGAGAGTATAACACCGAATTGAAGCACAGTCCAGTGCAGCCTTTAGAAAAGTCTACATCATTCAGTAATCACTTAAACAACCATTATGCAAATGTTCATGTAAACCTACAAAGTATAGGAAGGAATAACTTTATCCCGAATAACTATGTTTAAAATACTACTCCAGACCCTTCTTGATATAATCCACTTTTGGAAAATCAAAAAACTATCTAACACTCAATATCAAACACCTAAAAGAAATTTAACACAAAACAGTATTAGTCTATTACATCGGTGATACCCCATAACTTTTTTAGCATCTACAGAATAATTAACCAAATGTCATAAGCCAAACGTCATAAGCCAAAAGTAAATTTATATAAGTTAAAATCAGATCCAATAAATAGCGATAAAAATTAGACGAAGAGACTATCTAGCAAGACCCACGGCAACTCAATTTCAACAGGAAAACAAGCACACATCAGCAAATATTTCAAAAATACAAGGCCTAGACCTATCAGAAACGAAATTATGCATTGACGCAATGAGTATTTAACACAGATGGCAAAACTAATACAAGCATTTGCTGCGAATGAACACCAGAATGGAAGAACTCAAGTTCAAAACTACAAAAATGTTCTTAGTATACCTAGCTACGACAGAGAGGCGAGAGGCTGCCCAAGGAGCCGGAGTGCCGGTGGACGGCCGATTAGGAACAACACGGCTTTCTTGAAACGGCGTCTTCGGTGATGCCAAAGCATCATTATCAGCAGCAACAGTTAGCTTAGACCTTCTTGATGCTACATTACTCGTGTCGTTCGCATTTTGATCCTTTCTGCCATAGTTGGCCTTCCGTGTTCCAGGAGAAAACATTTTCTTTCTTCTCTCTCGCACAGACACACAGTCGCTCAAATTTGTATACTTCAATTTGATTTCATTTAATTCTTTGGATGCACAGAGATTTCAATTGATTTCAAACGCGCGTCACAAATTGCAGAAAGAGCAAGGTTTTAGGGTTTTTCTAACTTTAAGTTTTTGCGCCTGAGTGAGAGTTTAAAAGTAGAAAAGCCCCTATCCCTTTTTATAATTTTGATTTATTTTTATAAAAAAAAAATTAAATCTTTTAACTCGAATATATATTGCTTGTAGTTTCAAACTTTCAATTCAATTTGATATATTATAAAAACGTTTAAAAAGCCATTCAGTATTAATTATGAGAAGCAATAACTTATGAACTACTCCCTCCGTTCTTTTTTATAAGTTATTATATGTTATGCACTGGATAGTTAAATTTATTTGATAACTCATGTATATAATTTTAGAAATAATATATTTTACATGGGTAATGTTAGAGAAGCAACTTAAGCACGTACTCTCTCTGTAATGAAATTATTATTCAGTTTGAGATTTCACTTATAGTACAATTGAATTAGAAATAAAAATTCAAACAGGACAATAATTTCGGGAAGAATGGAGTATATGATGTTGCGACTAAACTTTGAAAGATCCATTAAAAAAAAAAAACAACTTTGAAAGATAATAACAAAAGCATGTACATATTCTTTGGTTAGACATAGAATATGAGAAATATCCAAATATGTATATATGTATAGATAGATAAAAAATATTAAAAGTTTGTTATCAACAAAACATTCTATGCGCATAGTTCATCTTGATCTTTTCCACTACTCTTTCAGTCTTTTGAGTAGTGATGAGTGAATGAAGTAATTGTGTAAGTTGTTTTTTTTTTCAACAAACCAGTCTGTGCCTCTGTGGTAATAGAAAATTATATTCGTATTGAATTAATCTTAAATGGAAGAGGTCAATCCTGACCGGCCCAAATGGAACTGGAGCTTGGACTTTAATAAAGATCCATTAAAAAAAAAAAACAACTTTGAAAGATAATAACAAAAGCATGTACATATTCTTTGGTTAGACATAGAATATGAGAAATATCCAAATATGTATATATGTATAGGTAGATAAAAAAATATTAAAAGTTTGTTATCAACAAAACATTCTATGCGCATAGTTCATCTTGATCTTTTCTACTACTCTTTCAGTCTTTTGAGTAGTGATGACTGAATGAAGTAATTGTGTAAGTTTTTTTTTTTTTTTTCAACAAACCAGTCTGTGCCTCTGTGGTAATAGAAAATTATATTCGTATTGAATTAATCTTAAATGGAGGAGGTCAATCCTGACCGGCCCAAATGGAACTGGAGCTTGGACTTTAATAAAGACTCAAGCGCCCCACTTTATTATTATGTGGATTATTCCCCTTTAATATAATAATTTTATTCTGAAATTACAAGTTTGTCTCCGCTAAGCAGGGCCCACAGGTATTATCCCAATTATAAATACCCCATGATCATTTATTACCAATTTGATTCCACACTCTGTTTTTTTCTCTAAAAATGTGTGTAATTGGCTGCTTCTCTTTCTAGCACTAACTTAATCTTCGGAATGTTAAACCTTGTCTTGCAGGTCCGCGTTTGGGTTTTACCGTTGACTCACCGCCTCCGGGATTTACCCTTGACTGTGAGGACACTGTTCCTACTTGGCTGAGGGTGAACCCAAGTGCTATACGAGAGTTATGATCTCTACCTGGACGAGGCCTGATGAGGGGACCAGTCGGAGTCCGGGACTTAGGTCACAAGTTGTTGGAAGTAACCCCCGCGCTTCTCCCGAGCCTCAAGAGGAGCGGCAGGAGAATGAAGACACGGCTCGGGCTTCTAAGATCAGCGATCGACAAAGCCGGTCTAGAAGGCGTAGTGAACATCATGAGGAGCGCAATCGGGATTCGGGTGAACGTGATAGAAGTCGGTCCCGTCGTGCAGGTAAGGAGACAGAACAAAGTAAGGACCATTCTTGGCGGTCATCTCGACGACGTCAATCACACTCGCTTAAATGAGGGCCCCATGATGAGCACTTTTGGAAGTCCTTTGCTCGGAGATTTCTCGGATTTGAGGATCAGTTCCGCAAATTCGAAGATATGTATTACGAAAGAAAAGGCGAGGACCCTGATGACAGCCTCCTGTTCATTGGCGAAAGGAGGGCTCCTTGGGGCCAGGAGAGGCGAAGGGACCGGGTTACCAATGTTTCTAGGGAACCAAGCCCAGATCCACCACCGAGACCTGAGCCGCGGCTGGACCGCGAGGTGGTGTCAGATCCCTAGCTCGAGGTCATCTTTGGTTGCAGGGAATCGCATAGGAGTCCCTTCGCTGAACACATCAGAAGTTGTCCGCGGCCTGACAATCTCAAGTTCTAGACAGACATCCCTAAGTATGGGGGCGACACCTTTCCGGTCAGTTTCCTAGCTGATTATACAACGATAATGGATTTGCGTGATTCGCTCCGGGAGTTCTCGGCCAAGGCGATGCCCACCTTTCTGACAGGAGCTGCTAAGATATGGTTCGATAGTCTTCCCCCAGGTAGCATTACCTCCTATACGGATTTGGGGCAGAAGCTTCATGTTTGATTCTTCTCCAGGAAGAAGGCCAGACCCACCATCCACGACTTGTATTCGGTGAGGCAATGCCAGAATGAGATTTTGGGGCAATATTATGAGCGGTTTACAAAGGAACTCATGATGATAGACCAAGTGGATGATTTGGTGATAAGAGTGGAGTTCGTAAATGGCCATCACCCTTTGGTGCGAGGGCGGCCTTAAGGGGCAAGCTTATTACCAAGCCCCCGCCATAGCTAGAAGCTGTGAGAGACGGTGGAGAAGGAAACCGGGACGGAAGAATCCATGAGAAGAGCTAGAGAAGCCTTTGGTGAGGGTGAGAAGAAAGGGGGGGAAGCTGGATGGGAAAAAGTTGAGCATCGGTTCTCCCAAGTTCAAGCCGAAGGCAACTCCTCTTACCAAGACCAGGAAGGAAATCCTCTAGATCCATAAGAGCGAGTTCAGGCTCTCTCCTCCGGACAAATCCCAGGACGAGTCTTCTTTCGAGTGGTGTGAGTTCCATCGGAGTAAAGGCCATGACACGGAGGATTGTTTCCGGTTGAAGAAGGAGATCAAGGATGGGCTTAAAGCCGGCTAGTTCCAAGAGTATGTCCAGAAGGGCTCGGGGGAGAGATCGGATAACCATCCTAAGAACCGAAGATGGAAGAAGAATAAGGGCAAAGGTGGCAACGAGGCTCTGGTTGCCGAAGAAGCTAAGGCCAAAGAAGGGATCAATGAGACGTAGGTGCGGCAGATCCTAGTCGCGCCTGTTGGTGCGATATATGGAGCGCCCTTGGGAGTCCAAAGTATCTCAGCTCTCTGAAGAAGCACGCGCCCTCGTCCTCCCAGGGAATCCGAGGTGAAGCGTCTTCGGCCAGAGGACTTGATTACTTTTTTGGAGAAAGACCTGGTGGGTGGTTCTAATGACCGTTCAGACGCCTTGGTTTTCACGGTCATCATTGCTAATCGGGAAGTTCGGCGGGTGTATGTGGATAATGGCAGTGTCGTGGACGTCATGTATCTCAATCAGAAATTGGGCCTCGACAAGTCGCAGCTGTGGCCCGCTTTCATGCCCCTAGTTGGGTTCTCCAATCATGTGATAATGCCTTTAGGCGTGATCAGCATAGCTGTGACCGTAGGGAATTACCCCAAGGATCGGGTGGTTATGGTTGATTTTGCGGTGGTTGATGTAGTCGCCCCTTTTAATGTCATCTTAGGACGACTTTGGATGAGTCAGACCAAGGCTATTCATTCCCCTTACCACCCGGTAATGAAGTTCCCGACCGAGGCTGGGATAGCAGAAGTCCGGGGTGACTAGCAGTTGGCTTGACAGTGTATGATGATCGCGCCCCATAAAGGACGAGAATAACTTCTGAAAGGCGCGCCTGTAGGCGCAATCCAAAAGGCACCAGTCTCTGAGCTCGGCGTAGAACCGAAGGACGGATGCCCTGATCTCCTAGAAGATGAGAAGATCGAGGATGTGGTCCTGAATCCTTGTGTTGAAGGAAGGGTCGTTCGGTTGGGAGTCGTCCTTCCTCCTAGCCTTAGGGCCCTGGTGATTGAATTGTTGAGGTAGTTCGAGGATATTTTTGCTTGGAACTCGAGTGACATGACGGGAATACCTCCTGATCTAGGTGTTCACAAGTTGAATGTGGATCCTGGGACGGGGCCCGTCCAGCGGAAGAAGCGGAAGATGGCCCCGGAATGCAGTGTGGCCGTGGACGTTGAAGTCGCAAAACTCCTGGTGACGGCCATCATCAAGGAGATCTTTTATCTCACTTGGCTAGCAAATCCTGTCATGGTTAACAAGTCTGATACCTCCTGGCATATGTGTGTGGATTATAAGGATCTCAATAAACATACTCCTAAGGATTGTTATCCTCTACCGGCGATTGAGCAGAAGGTGGACGCTATCTTAGGGTATCCCATGCTCAGATTCCTGGATGCTTATATAGGGTATCGCCTAATCCTTATGGACGAGGGCGATGAGGACAAGACCGCCTTCGACACTGAAAAAGGCGTGTTCTGCTATGTTAAGATGCCATTCAGATTGAAGAACGCGGGTGCTACCTATCAACGGGTGGCAAATCGCCTCTTCGGGCATCAGTTAGGCAGGAATGTGCAGATCTATGTGGATGACATGGTGGAGCAGCAGGCTTAATACCATAGTAGACAACCTCCGAGAAACCTTTGAGACTCTCCGGGCTGCTAACATGAAGCTGAACCCGAAGAAGTGTGTGTTCTGTGTCGGTTCGAGGAAGTTTTTGGGCTACCAAATATCACAGAGGGGGATTGATGTTGACCCGTCCAAAGTCCAGGTCATTCTCGTCATGCAAGCCCCTCGGTTGGTGAAGGAGGTGTAGAGGCTCACGGGGTTCAAAGGCTGCCGAACGAAGTTTGCTATTCTTTAGAGTTCCCAAGAAGTCCA